GACTCATAGTCTGGTGCAGGTTCGGGAGTGAACTCGTAGACTGGAACAAGCTCAAAGGGCTCCCGGACTGGAACAGGCTCTGGAGTGGACTCTGAGGGCTCATGAACTAGAGCGACCTTAGGAGTGGACTCAGAGTGCTCCTGGACTGGGCTCTGGAGTGGAGTCTGATCTCTCCTGGATCTGAGCGGGCTCTGGAGTGGACTCTGATTGCTCCAAGACTAGAGCAGTTTCTGTGGCGATCTCTGAGACCACCCACGTCGGATCCTCCTGGACCACCAGACTTGACTTTACCGACCTCTTCCTTCTCGCCCTCCTCAGTAGCCGTAAGAGGGCCAAGACTGGTGGTAAAATCCCTATGAAAGGGTTCTTGTTGACCTGGTTTAACCCACTGAACTCGCTGAACAAGATACCAGGTGAAGTCCCAAAAATTCAAGGTCTCGAGTCCCTTCATCTCCCAATGGGACAAGGGATCGTAAAGACATCCATTAAAGAAATCCTTAAGTGCCACGTCATTGAATCCCAGTCCCACAGAGTAAGTCCAGAAGAGTTGGGCAAAGGCCCCTAAATCGCCACCCTCTTGTCGCATCCCTTGACAGCCTTAATTAAATCGAGTCGCTCTCTCCTGCCATGTGGCAGGTCGGGTAATCCGAAAACTCATGGTACTAAAAGAGGAGAAAAGAAGGAAAAAACAAAAACTACTGGATCTTTAAGTAGCATCAGTATTCTGTCACGGAATGCTCACACAAAAGATCCATTTGCAATTTTATTCTCAGAGTCCAAAAAGAAAAACAATCCACATGAGCAAACACAGGAAACAAAGATAACAACACAGGAATTTTAGGCAATATAGAAATCCTGGCCAGGACGCGTCCTGGGAAAATGGCACGTATGGTCACCCTATGCAAGTGCTATAACAAGTCTCAGTTAGCTTAACGCAGTACACGTAGCAAGGTAAAACAGATAGAATAGAAAAAGAATAGAGCAACTAGTGTTAGAGGCCTTTTTTTGCTTTTGATAATTGTATAATAAATAAAAAAGAAAACAGATAAAATACAAAAAGGTTAGAAAAGCTAGTGTTAGTTTTTAATATTATTATTTATAAATAGAATAAGAATAAAGAGTGCTAGATTTTGTCACGGCTCGCCTACTGTGGCGGAAATGTGGAGACGAAGGAGCGCGGAAACCAAGGGGATTAACATCAACAGTCTTTATTCTTCCAAATACCAAGGAGTACACACGTAGACTGAGGGGTTGATGAACAATTCCGGACGCTGGACATGGAAACACACAGGGCTTAAATTAAGAGACTAATCAAGGAATTAACAAGGAAATTAATGGGACACAGCTGAAACTAATGGAACTCAAAGCTGGGAACACAGGAACACCAAATATGGGCATAATCATAAACGTGGAGCACGTGGGGGAGGAAAACACAACACAAGAGGTCTGGAGGTCCCTCAGGACAGACACAGGACAGCGGGCCTCCGGAGCGGTATCCGTTCGGGGCGCCATGGCGGATCATGCAGCTCGGGGAGCCATGGCGGAGCCGGGAACTCAGGGGACCACGGCAGATCAGACAGTTCAGAAGGCCATGGCGGAGCAGCCTCCGAGGCCACGGCCCCAGCCCCCTGCCCCGGCCTCTACGGCTGGAGCCCTACTACCCCCCCAAAAAAAATACTTGGAGAGCATAACGGGCTCCGAGGCCCTCTCGGGGCTGAACTCGGGGACTGGAGCCCTCCCTGGTCTTAACTGGGGATACGGAGCCCTCCCTGGGCTTAACTGGGGATCAGGAGCCGACACTGGAGCAACCTCGGGGGCTGGAGCCGACACTGGAGCGAGCTTTGGGGCTGGAGCCGATTTAGAAGTGAGGATAAGGGCTGCTAGCAGTCTTTTCCTCCTCATCCCACTCTTACGGTTGGGGTTGATTTGGACATCTGGCGGGCTTGAGTCAGCGGCTTGAGTCGTGGCGGCCGGCGGGCTTGAGTGAGCCGCTGCTGGCGGGCCTGAATTCGTAGCGGCCCGCAGGCTTGACAACGGCGCGGCAAAGCGTGAGGCGATCTCCATTATCGCGGGGGGAAAACCAGGAGAAACTAAAAGACTTTCAAAAAACTGAAAACAAACACGGGGAGAGGGGCGCCACTTACTGTTGTTAGGTCCGGAATTCTGTCACAGTTCGCCTACTGTGACGGAAGCAAGGAGACGAAGGAGCGCGGAAACCAAGGAGATTAACATCAACAGTCTTTATTCTTCCAAATATCAAGGAGTACACACGTAGACTGAGGGGTTGACAAACAATTCCGGATTCTGGACATGGAAACACACAGGGCTTAAATTATGGGACTAATCAAGGAATTATCAAGGAAATTAATGGGACACAGCTGAAACTAATGGAACTCAAGGCTGGGAACAAAGGAACACCAAATATGGGCATAATCATAAACGTGGAGCACGTGGGGGAGGAAAACACAACACAAGACATGGAACAGAGTC